TCACCCGATCCATCCCCTCCCCCGACGTCGTTTCATGGACCTCGCTCGTCTCGGGCCTCGCCAAGTCCGGCCTCCAGGCCCAAGCCCTTAACGCCTTTCGTTCAAAGCCCAATAACATCAAGCCCAACGCAGCCACCCTCGTCGCCACGTTGAGCGCGTGTTCATCTCTCGTGGCTCTGAGACTCGGCAAGTCCGTCCACGCTCACGGCGTGAAGCTAATCGTCGATTGGAATGTTGTCTTCCACAATGCCGTATTGGACTTGTACGCGAAGTGTGGCTCTTTGAAGAATGCAAAGAACTTGTTCGATAAAATGTCTGTGAGAGACGTGGTTTCTTGGACCACGTTATTGATGGGTTACGCTCGTGGTGGTTATTGCGAAGAGGCTTTCGCTGTGTTTAAACGAATGGTGCTTAGTGAGGAAGCTGAGCCTAATGAGGCAACCGTTGTAACTGTGTTAACTGCGTGTGCCTCTATTGGTGCCTTGAGTTTGGGGCAATGGGTGCATTCGTACATCGACTCAAGACACGACCTTGTGGTTGATGGCAACATTGGGAACGCTTTGCTTAACATGTATGTGAAGTGTGGAGACATGCAAATGGGGTTTAAGGTTTTTGATGTGATAGGGCACAAGAATGTTATCTCGTGGGGCACTGTTATTTGTGGCCTTGCCATGAACGGTTATGAGAAACAAACGTTGGAGCTGTTTTCCCGCATGTTGGTTGAAGGGGTTGAGCCTGATGATGTTACGTTTATTGGGGTGTTGTCTGCATGCAGCCATGCGGGTTTGGTGAATGAAGGGGTTATGTTTTTCAGGGCAATGAGGGATTTTTATGGCATTGTGCCGCAGATGAGGCATTATGGTTGCATGGTGGATATGTATGGACGTGCTGGTTTATTTGAAGAAGCTGAGGCTTTCCTTAGAAGCATGCCTGTTGAAGCTGAAGGGCCCATTTGGGGGTCTCTTCTTCAGGCATGCAAGGTTTATGGTAATGAAAGGATGTCCGAATGGATTAGGGTACACCTCAAGGGCAAAAATGTTGGCGTCGGTACTCTTGCTTTGTTATCTAATATGTATGCATATTCTGAAAGATGGGATGATGCTAATAAGGTTCGGAAGAGTATGAGAGGCACCGGATTAAAGAAATTAGCAGGGTGTAGTTGGGTTGAGCTTGAGTCCAATAATAGATTGGATTCAAATTTGTATGTTGCCTAATGGAGCTAAGGAAGGATTATTGAAGCTTTGGAATTGAATGTAGATAATGTATCAAACACTGATATGATATATAACCTCCTAAAGTTGAAAATGACTGGTCCCGGCATTTCTATGTTCATACATGGAATCAATGTGATTTATTCCATTCTTGTACAAACCCAAAGTCTTTCTTTGTGTATGGGTTGGTGTAAGCATGACAATCCAATGACAAAAGTGTAATGTACATTCAATATATGGACTTCAGAACAACGATGTTCAGCAAGTTTTCTCTTTTTTGGTACTTTCTGGAACTTGTATAATGTAAATGATTATTATTCTAAATTTGTATACTCCTTTCATGTGGTTAATATAAGTATACATTTTGATATATGTTGCATCTCTCTTTTACAAAAACCAGGGAGCGCAAATTTTTTGTTCCATGGCACTTAATTAATTGTGGCACAAAATTAACCAGATCATTGTGATCTCATCGAATTCGATAAGGATGTGAATGATGCCTGCAATGCTGGTGTTAGGTTAGAAAAGAAGAAATGTCTATCTGGGTTGTCATGGTGTGATTATGAAAGTAGGCCAGGTCGAAAGTAGACCTTTTGTAGACTCTTTCTGTGAGCAAGCTATATATGCTGCGAGGCACTTCTTTCCTTCCATGCTTTATATATTTCTCATTTCTTGTTAAAACTCCTGCACCACTATTGTTCTTTATATATTTCTGTTTGGAGCAAGTATCTGTAATATATTAGGGAAGAAAAGGTGAATATATTTTTACTTTTTAGAATGATGAGCCTCAAGTTTAGAGCCTTACTAAATTTTTCAATAAATTTACTCTTGTAAGATCTTTCTTGTAATTGCATTGCTAAAGGAAGAGATGGTCAAGGTATTGCTGGATTAGAAATATGGGCCGGTTTCTGAAGTAGAATCAGTAAGGAAAAATTCGTGACATCTGAAAACTGTCATGTATTAATCACTGAATGCCTCCATTTAGGTATCTGAACTCTGAAGATTTGTGGAAACTGAAACATCTTAAAGTTCGTATTGATGAGCCTTCGTCCTGATTTTTTTCCTGGGAAACTGTCACTTACTTTAAAGCAGCTTTTGGCCACATCCCAGTGCAATTATAAGGTAAAATTAATTCCAGATAATTTGCAGCCTCGTAGAAGAGAAAACTCAGTGAAATGTTAGAATTTAGATAGTAATAATGAAAAAAAAAAAAAAAAAAGATAGAAAACAAATGTTATCCATTGATTTGAAATCTGTGATGCTGCATTTATAATACTTCATTATTTAAAAAATGTAATACTCTTTCTGGTCTTTTTATAAGACTCATATCAAAGCTATTGTTTTCTTTATTTTCTTATGATTTTGTAATATTCCTCGCTGCTCATAAAAGAAAGAGTGTCGCAGGTTTATCCTAATTTTCCTCTAATTTCCAGCATTAGACCCTTTTTTATTCTCCCTTTGAGGTATTTCCTTTCAGAATTCTTTGAAAAAAGGAAATAAATATGCAGATTGGCTATTTTTGGAGCCAATGGTATCGGAAGTATATCTCAGTTATTCTATGTATCCTAGGTAGTTATCCTTTATTTTCCAAGTTGATGCCCCCAGGAACTTCATACTCTAAGGGAGTTAGTTTGTTGCTTTTTTCTCCCGTAGGTTGTAATTTCCATCTGATAAAAGAAATCAAAATTGTTATATGATATTTTTATAAGAATCAATTTAAAAGGAGGTTGAGCAGGGTGGGGCGTCACTATTGTAAACTTTTTAGTGCCAACTCCAAGTTTGATACTTATAAATAAAAAAGAATCTAAAATATCTCTTGCACTAATTTTTTTAATAAGAATTATTCTTAGATAAAGTCATTTCTCTTCATTTAATAAATATATATTAGAGTAATAATAACATTATAATTAGTTTTAAAATATATATATATTTAATATTATTAATTAAATTAATTAGTTTTAATTTCATAGAATCATGACTAGAAGAAGTATGATTTTACTCCTATAAAAGTCAACTCGATAGGAGAGAATTAAGGAGTGTATTAGATTAGGATTTTAAATGACTTTTTTAGTTAAAAAAAATCCTGCTGATTTTAAAAGATTTTGCAGGATTTTCATGACTTTTAAGATTTTGCAGGATTCTACAAGACTTAAAATCAGGATTTTAATAGATTTTGTAAGATTTTTAAATTAAGATTTTAATGGATTTTGTGAGATTTTGTAGAATTTTCGTGGATTTTTGACATATGATAAGATTTCAAATTTTTTCATACATTCAAATTTAAAAAGAGTCAAAGACAAAAATAATAAAAATATCTACATAAATATTAATAATAATAATAATTCTCCATAATATCTTATTTCTTAAATAACATTCACCCACATATCTATAGTTATATTGGTCCTCCAAGCATTAGTGTTTTCTCGCTCTTGCTCCTGGGTTTGAATAATAGGCTCAAAAGTATGATCTTTATTAACCGGTAATATTGAAGATGAAGGTTCGTCCACCGCTTCAATTGAAAATTCATCATAACGACATTCTTTATGTAGAAAGTTATGTAGTGCTCTACATGCTAACACAAGTTCTACTTGTGTCTTAAATAAAAATGGAGGTGCTGACTTAAAAATTGTGAACATTTAAAAATATCAAATATTCTCTCGATCACATTCCTTAAAGACGCATGACGTAGATTGAACAATTATTTCTCATTTTCAAGGTTATTACCCTAACCTGTAAAATCTTGTAGATGATGTCTTAGTTATGTATTATATGATAATTTTTTAACGATATTTATAAATATAAATTATTCTAACAAATATTTTAACAATATTTCATTTTTTTTTAAAATAAGTTAATGGAGGCATAAACCCTAAACCCTAAAAAATTAGATACTGCAATATCTTATGTATTTTTTCTTTTTTTAAAATATAAAAAAAATTATAATTTCATAATATAAAAATAAAATAAAAAATTTCATAGTAAATAAAATAAAATAATTGTTAAGTCATAAAAAGAGGAGGGATAAGAGTAACAAACTCAAGGAAAGGAGAGAGATCACAGTTTTTATGTTGAGAGGGTTCTTCTCCCAACTAAAATTCATTCTCATCTCATTCTACTCACAAAAATCCTAACTCAAATTCATCTTTTATATATATATATTACTTCTTGTTCGTGAATGATCTAAAACTCTAAATTAGTATTTAATATTCCGAGACAAATTAACCTAGCTGGAGGCAGAACGCATTCAGTTTCCTTTGATATTTTATTCATTTGGAAGATACCACTTTTATGCCTCTTGAGATGGGACATGGGAGTTTGTTTGTGACACATGACATGATGAAGATAAGATTGCAAGGCTTATGCCGCTGTCCGAATCTTTGTTATTTAGTGAGGAACCCCTTCAA